AGTCCTTATCTTTTTCGTGTTTATTATTTAATCCCCAAACTTTATTAATTTTCCAAAGTAATCCAATTTCATATTTTAACATTAATTCAACATTCTAAAAATCTAATTTCCAGCATAGTACTTTAACTATTAAATAATTACACTTTAATCCTCATATTTTACAAAGTATGCAAATTAGTCATATTATTTTCATAATTTTAATATTTAAGACCAATAAACATCCTATTGTCAAATTCATCATTCCAACATTCAATTTCAACATAAAACATCAACTATTAAACAATTTCACATGAATCTTCGTATTTCTCAATTTATACAATTAAGTCCCTATACTTTCAAAATTTTCAAAATTGATCCTAATCATATTTTAAGCATTTAGAATCATTCACACATCATTTCTAGACCTTGTATATTTTTTCCACAATTTTTCTTTGTCTTCTTCCCTTAGGCCTAATTGATTAAAGTATATTAAGCTTGATTTTCAACTTGATTCAAGCATGATTTCATCTTCCTAACAACATTTCCATAACAAAAACTAATCAAAATTTTCATTTCTTCATGAATCTTAACCATGAACTAATAGTATATACAAATTTCTAAGTAATTTTGATCATTATTGAAACTTGAAAGCAACTTTATAACATTAATAATACAACCATATATCCATAAATAATCAAAATCCAACTCATTCATCATCCACTCTAGCAACAAAATCATTGATTCGAACATGTAAATCATGTAACATTCATATCAAATGGTTGAGAATTTGATATAGATCATTTTTCTATTTCACAACTTATTTCAAAAATCAAAGTAAAAAAAAGACTAAAATGAAGAAAAAAAGAAAGAAACATACCTTATTTTTATCTATGGCGCATGAAATTTATAGGGAGAAGAAAGAGTTTTCTTGATTTTTCTACAAAAGTATCTATGTACAATTGTTAAATTCTAATTAAAATAAATTTAAAATTCATTTTAGTCCAAAAGTCATTTCTACCCTTAATAAATCTTGATATTTACCACTTTTCCATGCTTTCATCACCATAATTACATTATCATATAAATATCAACATTTATTTGATTCATTTTTATCTTAGCCCTTGCATTTTTCCAAAATTTCAATTTAGTCACTTAATCTCCACTATTCAACTTTAACATGAAAAATCCACTTAATCCTACTATTCCAATTAAAATTATAAATATAATATTTCAAACCCCATACTACCATTCTTCAAAATTTTGAAAACTTTCGATTCGATTATCCGAATATTTTACCGAACTTTATCGCTTACTAGCTCTTTACACAAATTTCATATCGAAATGTGAATTGCATAAAGAATCTATTCTTAAAGATGAACTATTTATTTATAGAATAAATTTTCTTTTTGGGAAAAAGACATCTGTGGTCCTTGATTTTTTCTAAGTTTTGACATTGGCTACTAATATTTCAAAAATTATGTTTTAGTCACCAATCAATTTTTTGGGGTATTACAGTCAAGTAGAATGTTCAAAAGTTTAAGGATTAATTTAGAATCAGAGTCATAGTTTGGGATGAAATTTGAATATTCAAAAGTTTAAGGATTAATTTAAAAGTAAGATTATAGTTTAGGGACATATGATGCAATTAACTCTGATTTAAATTATAAGAAATATAATATTTGATTGAACTAACATCGAATTGGTATTAGTAAGGAGTGACGTGTCATTATTTGTTACCCGTCATTATGGAGATCATTGTGAAATGCGCTTACGCGTCTTTTACTCCTCCATTCGTCAACCGCGCACCATAAAAATAAAATAATATTAACAAAAGCATGAAGGGTAAACTACGTTAATAGTCACTTAACTTTTAGGGAATTTTTATTTTGATCATTGAAATCAAAAAACTTTTATTGGAGTTGCTATTGTTAAGAAAAACTCTCATTTCAATAATTGAACCGTTAATAACGATTGATGTGGCACTCTTAAAAACCTAAAAAATTGGCAATCGTCGAGCCTTCTTTTGTCGTCGTTTAGGCCATTGTTTGGAGGTTTATTTGATCATAAAAGATCATTGCACTACTCATCTTATTCTTCTTCTTTTTTTCAATTCAAAATCATCGAAAAAGCCTTATATTCTCCTCAAATCACAATCGAAACTAAAGTTAAAACTTCATGATTCAATAGTGTCAATTGTTATATCAGCTTGAAATCAAACTATGTTAATCTTTGGACCAAACAAAATCTTTTCACCTCTTGAGATTAACCGAGGATTGTTTCGTTCATCGAAAACTTGATATTTGTGTTGACTATCAATCTGAGAAACTTTATGATTCTTTTGAGAGAGAAGATTTTAATGTGTCACAATAATTTTTTTACAACGACAATTAACGATAGTGACCGAAATAAAAATAAATTGAAGCTTAGAGATTATAATAAAAAATTTAAAAGTTCAATAACTAAAATAAAAAACCTTAAAAAATTAGCGACCATCATCTTATGAGAAAGAACAAATTTTATTATTTTCCGTTTAATCTCTGATTTTTTATATTAATTTTGAATTTAGATTTGTTGTCCTTCTGATGACCCAATACTCTAATATTGTACTATATGACATGGAATTACAATGTCGCGTAATCTAAATAACTAAAAAGGAGAGAAAATTGTTAAATTCAAAAATTAATATGAAGAAAAAAGTTTGAGGACCAAATTAAGAAAAGTCACAAAGATTGTGGATCAATAATTATTTTACCCTAATTCTACCTCAGTTTACATTTTCCATATTGAATAAGAAACTATAAAATTCCAATAATATCACTTACTAAATACCACGTGAACAATATGGTCCCCAAAATAAAATAAAATAAAACAAAAATCACCAAGTTGCCATTTTCAACATTTTTCAAGTTGCAGTTTCAGTTGTACATTGATCTGTTGAGCAATTTGTCTCAAGTTGATCAGCTTTCTCTCGTCCCCAGTTGTTGCCTCAACAATTTAGGGAACGACATTGGTCGGATCGGGTATGGTTTTCAATCAATCTAATCTAACTCGAAAATATATACTTTACACCTGAAACTTGACATGATCTGAGTTTAGAAATGACTTCACTTGATCCATGTCGACCGAATTTTCAGAGATAAAACTTAAATCTGACCCGACTCGAAATAAATATATTTATAAAAATATTATTTTCATTCAATAAAAATAGGTTCATAGAAAATAATTATAGATGCGACTTTTTCAATCTACTATTTTATTTTCACAAAATTAAAACTCGAACTCTTAACTATATTAAAAAAAATTACCATTTCGTAAATTATTTTTAAAATATGTGATTAAAAACTCTCGGTTGACACGTTTCTTAAGTTATGGGTTTAATATTCATTATGAGTAAAATTCTCATTCTCTCTCTTTATGTAGGTATTGTTCAAAAGAAATTTACTGTTTCATCCCATCAGATTAATCGCTAATATTCTAATAAAAATATTTTTTATAATATAAATATACGTCATTTGGATATATAATTGACTGCTGCATTAAGGGTCTGTTTGATAAGGGGAAAAGAAGTTTTAAGAATTTATTTTTCTATTTTACTGTGTTTGATAAGACTAAAATATATCAGTCAACGTATTTTATTTTTCTAAGATTTGTTTTAGTTCAAATTTAAATATGTTATTATTATCGATATCATCTCGCATTGTATTTATTTGAATTTTATTGATCATTGTACATCCTTGGTTATAATCAAAATTGTTACCGATTGTTTAATCTTTTAAAGTAGACATTAAATAAATAACCTCTTAGATTAAAACCTACAATAATTTAACATTCTCGATTGTAATCAGAATCATTACTAATTATGTAAATTTTTAATTCGAATAAAATAATATTTTAAATTAAAACTTATTTCAAATTAGCCTGAGATCACACACCAAAACTACTTACAAATACGCATAAAAAAATCGAGATTAACCAACCTAGTATACCTATTTAGAAAATTTTGAGAATTAAAAGCAATAAAATTATAGGGTTAAAGTACACAAATGGTCCTCGACTATAGAGTATTACTTTATTGAGCCCCCACTTATTAAAAGTTACAAAACAATCCTTTGACTATAAGATGCTACTTTCTTAAGTCCACAAACTATTAAAAGTTACAAAATGATTACCTGACTATTCATTGTGTTCCAAATTCGTCATTGTTCGTTAAAAAATTGATGATAGTTTGATCAAGACGTTAACATATTGACTGAGATATGATAATTGTTTGAGATTCTGAGATCATATTATATCATGTCTTGGTCTGCAGGTTAATGTCAAACTCAAATTATCATCAATTTTTTAACGGAAAATGACGAGTTTGGAACACAATGAATAGTCGGGTGACCATTTTGCAACATTTAATAATAAGAGGACTTAAAAACAACATGTTATAGTTGGAGAACAATTTTGTAACTTTTAATTGTCAGATGACTCAATAAAGCAACACCCTATAGTTGGGGGGCCATTTAATGTAGGCTTGATATAAAAATAAGTGTATAAACTATACTCAAAATTAACTTTTTCTGCTTAAAGATTTTTTCATTAAAAATAAGTATATAATGTTTTCTCTGTTATATTTTTAATTGTTTACCTTTAAAAACCCGTTAAGTGACTAATATTACATCAAGATTTTAAAAGAAATATTTTAAAAAAATATTTTATTAAAAGGATATAAATGTGAGATATGTCACTTAACGAATTTTTTAATGATAAACACCTAAAAAACAATAGAAAAAATATTAGACACCTATTTTTAACGAAAAATTCTTTAAACACCAAAAATCAATTTAAGATATAGTTTACACACCTAAAAATGCATTAAGCTTTTAATGTACTTTACCCAAAATTATAATAGAGGGATTAAATTAATTAAAAATAGACAATCTAGGGACTTGATACAAAATTTGATCAAAGAGAGTCCCATTCACAGTCGATACATATATATGAACCGATACGCACATTTCATCCTCGTCCTATCTCCCCTACTATCCCGATCCTGAACAAAACTTTCTCTTTATCTCTATTTAGCCCCCAAATTCCTCATATTTCGATCGGGGGATTCTCTTATGCTATGAAACCCAATCCTCTCTCTCATTCTCTCGCAGGCACCACGATCATCTCACGCGCCGCCGTGTCCCTCCAATTCATCCGCCGGTCCCGCCTTTTCACGTTGCTTGCAAACCCCTGTAGTTAGGGTTTCTGGAACAGCAGGATTATCCGTTTGTTTTTCTTTTGTTTTTATCGGTAGAGGTTAGATTAGGGTTTCGAAGAGGAAATCGACAGAAGATGGGCAGCGTGGATCGAGTTGATGATTTGACATTTAAAGTTAATTTTAGCGGAGATGGAGCGGCCAAGTTGAGAGATAGAGTCAATGAAAAACTCAAGGAGTTTATGGGCGACTACACTGACGATACTCTTGTGGTACTTCTTTTCGCCCTTTGCAATTTAATCTTCTATTTATATGTTTCATATGTTTTTCCTGTTGTTTATATAAACGTGTGATGATTGGATTTTTTTCTCTCTGAACGGTTGCGTTGATCATAACGTTTGTTTTTCTATTCAATTTCATAATGATAGCATGTTTTTGAGTGACATTTGTAGAATTTGAACTCTTTAAAATACTCAGGTTTGTTCTTTTTATTTCAATGTTCTATGTTCTTATCAAGAGCTTGTGGCACTGGTTGAAAGAAAGGATTCGGAAGAAAGTGAATAAATAAAAGGCGCCATCGTCCGAAATGTTTTTCTTGAGATTTCATAAGCCCTTGAATATTTTCTTTTTCAGTTGTAAGATTGTTTGAATTATATATGGTTTTAATATTTCCTACAACGATGTATCTCGGCTTAGTTGTAGTTGGTTAGCATTCTTGACCTTCCAGTTTTGACGTGGTTCTCTGATTACATCCAATCTCTGAGAGAGTTGGAGTACACAAATTACCAAATCTGTTAAAAATTGTGAAAGATTAGTGATTCCATTTGACATCTTATGGTATTATCTCATTGATTTGATTGTCAGGAATATGTGATTGTCTTATTGAGAAATGGCAGACGTAAAGATGAAGCAATGAATGAGTTGAATGTTTTTCTTGGGGACGACAGCGATTCTTTTGTCACCTGGTATTTAGATTATTTTCCAACTTTCTCCATTTTGGAAAATCAGTGCTTATATAAACATAGCTGACAGGATCGAGCCCCAAGTTATCCTCACCTCTGATACTTTTAGTTTTCTTATATTAGTGTGTACGGATATAATATTCTTATCCTGCTTTTGAATAGGTTGTGGGATCATTTGGCTTCAAATTTGGATCTATATATTCCTTCTCAAGAACTTCATGTTCAAGGAGCCAGAACAACTGCATTGGGGAACCAGTCTATTGGTACCGACTCTCACCAGTTGGACACTGATTCTGAAAGAGGAAAGACTACTAAGGTTTCCAGGAACCGTCACAACAGGGAGTGGAAGGGACTAGTTAGGGATGCAGCTGAACCTCCTCCTCTTCGGAGCTCTGAGGTTGAGAGTATTCGTTTTGAAGAAAAATCCAATCGTAAAGTAAACTGTGGAAAATCTCTCTCTCCTCATCATTCTCAGAAGAAAAGGAGTAAACCCGATGAGCGACAGCCTATGAAGGTTTGATTTTATAGGATACATATTCTTGACTAGGTGATGACCATTGACTAGAATTAATAGCATATGGTTATCCTTTAATTGAAAAAATTATAACCTTATGGAAATGATTTAGAGCTGATGTATAGGGGTAAATTTCTTAATTTTCCTAAGGTCACATATTAATCATTAATTACTTATATTTTTTGCTCTAACAATAATTCAGAAGGATTTGTTTCTTCAAGAAATAATTTTATGTAAATTGTATAGCGGTTTGATGTTGTGTCAAATGCCAATGTCTTTTTCGTTCCTTTGGCTATGATCATCTGATCCATGTATGAACTCCTTTTGTAGAGGGAAGCAGTTTCTCAGATGAACATTGATGCCCCTAGGCGGCTGCTTCAGTTTGCTGTGCGAGATGCAGTTGGAACTTCGAGGACACCTGTTTCATCAAAGGAACCATCATCCAAGCGCCTTAGATCTGTTGTCTCAACAACCTCTGGAGATTTGCCAGTTCGTCCCCGGAGAATTCAGTCTGTTGCAAGAGTGCCAAATCCAATGGCGACAGTGATCAAGGCTGTTGCAGAAGCTGCCGAAGATGTGACAAAGGTAAAAAATGCTGGAAGTGTATTTGACAGGCTTGGTCCTGGAATGGATGTTTTGGAGAGCCAAGACCTACTCCCAGGATACAGAGAGTCTCTTCCCCAGGAAGAAGAATATGGAGATCTTGACCAACCTTTGGAGACAACCGATTCGTCATATTATCAAAGAGAGCAGTTTGGTGGTCGACATCTTGGTAACATAACTGCTTTAGACAGTGAGACTGGGTTGGCTTCAGATTCTGTGTCTGACAATGAATGGTATGATGATGTTAATGTTGTTGGCCGTGGAGGTATGGACGTGTCTCGTACTGGTACATCAAGTGGAAACAAGGGTGATAACTCACTTATGGTGCAGTACAATGTAGCTAAGGATAATGAAATCTCGCAAATGAGGAACAAAGATCAAAATCAATCTACAATAGCAGTAAATTCTCGTAAGATAGTTAACATTTCTGTCAATGTAAATACGTGGAAACCACCTCATTATCAAGAGCCAAGGGAGGTTTCAGAATTGGAGAGTCGAAAGTCTCTTCTGGAGAGTGAAGCAGCTGCTAACAAATCAAATGTTAGATTGGAGAATGACAACACAGTTACAGTCGGTAATGGAAATGTAGGATGTTCTTCCTATATTTATTTTCTCCTTTATTCTTTGCATTTGGGCTGTATAAATTTGCATTTATTTTGTTGAATTATAGGATAAAAGTGCTGCTTATAATCAAGATATGTCTCAGAAAGCAGTGCAGCTATCTTCTGGTGAGTTGTCTTCTATTGTTAGGATTGGTTATTTGGCTGTTGCATGTTTCAGACATGGAATTCTCGTGTATTGTGACCTTTTTTTTATTAAATCCTTTTTTTAAATTCTGTTGGTTTTTACGTTATTTTTAATTTTTGCCATTTTCTTTTTGCAGTTTTACATTCTGCCGATCGTCCTTTAGAGGATGCTGATTCTCGAACCATCTTTGTTAGCAATGTAAGAAACCAAACTTATTTGTCTAGTTCACAAAAAAGATGGCTCCCTTACACTTTTTTGACAACATATGGTTCTGTAACATAAGCAGGTCCACTTCGCTGCTACTAAGGATAGTCTTTCTCGACATTTTAACAAGTTCGGAGAAGTGCTAAAAGTTGTTATCGTTATGGATGCTGCGACTGGGCAACCGAAAGGGTAAGTTGCTTTAAATACTCGTTCTGAATACGTCTGTAAAGCATCATCTTTCTTTCCTAAGGTGTGATGCCTACACAGGTCAGCTTATGTGGAGTTTATGCGAAAGGAAGCAGCAGACAATGCTTTGTCCCTGGATGGTACCTCATTCATGTCACGGATTCTTAAGGTATTCAATCCTTGTTCTCTGTTGTTTTATTCAACCTTTTTTTTTCTTTTCAACTTCCCATGCATATTGATATTTCTCATCTTTAAGTCGGAGAGTTATGCGTGTTAAAATTTTTACTCTATTGGAAACTCTATCTTGGCTCAGCCTAGTGTAATAAGGCTGCTTGATAGCTAAACTTTTTCAGGAAAACACTGCTGATATAGTTCGTATTTTGGCAGTCAATGGTTGCGACTTTCGACAATTTTGTTTTTATGATTTGTTACTTAATAGCTTGTAAATATTATGAGTTATGCGTGTTAAAATTTTTACTCTATTGGAAACTCTATCTTGGCTTAGCCTAGCGTAATAAGGCTGCTTGATAGATGAAACTTTTTCAGGAAAACACTGCTGATATAGTTCGTATTTTGGCAGTCAATGGTTGCGACTTTCGACAATTTTGTTTCTATGATTTGTTACTGAATAGCTTGTAAATATTATAAAGTTGGTCTATATTCCAATCATGGCCATGCTATCCAGTTTGCTGTATGATTCACTTCTGTTGAATGTGTTTCTCTGCCAATTTCTTTGCATTCATGTTGATTTGTTGTTCCAAAATATAAGGACTAAGTCACAACTTGTTTGATTTCGTTCTTGCTGAAGGTTGTAAAGAAAACTTTTGCTCCTCAAGAAGCCGCTCCTGTCATGACATGGCCTCACGTTGCTCGGGGTTCTCCATTTGCTGCTGCGAGGTTTGCTAGAGCTCCTTTACCCCGAGGTTTCCCAGTTGCATTTAGGCCTCACCTCCCCATAAAACCTGGTGCAAGAAGCTTTCAGTGGAAGCGTGGTGCTCAGGCCACTCCATCCGATGCTGCTGCGAGTAAATTTACTCCTCCCACTGCCCGAAGTCTCACCTACATCCGAACGGAGCCCAAAACGGAAGGGAATGCCACTACCTCCTAGTTCAGTCTCTCTCATTTTCTCACATTCCGCCCCAAGGTTGCATTGATTTTCTCTTTTTGGCATTTGTTTTTTTTCCGGAAATATTTTTTTAATGGACCGATTGCATCAAGTATATAACATGGATCGAAAAATAGGGGAAAAATCCAGAGGCGATGAATCTTCAACACCTTGAGACATGTCTAGAATAGAGAGATGTATGTTATAGAAGTGTCAAACTGGTGTTTTTGTAAGAAATTTTGCAATCACAGGCATTGGCTTCGAAGTGTGGGAGGGGGAGGGTAATATGTATAGTTGCGGGGAAGCAAGAGCAAAGTGGTACTTGTATATATATATATATAATTTTTATTAGACATTTCATTTTGTAACGTAAAATAGAAGAAAATGATTTAAAAAAAAAGTAGAAATTGGTTTCTCAGGGTATGGGCACTGAAGCCTAGTGTAGGAATGGCAGACAGTTATAATTTTATGGATTTTACACTGCACCTGTTTTAATTGAGACTGAGACGGGAATGAATATAAGTTTAGTGGGTAATAGACAAGTATAGATGTAAAAGGTCATACTCGTCATCGAAACAGGTGTGGATTTAAAAATTTTATCCATCATGAGTGGTGGGTAGATGATGAATATAAAAATAGGGAAAGGGATATCTTCAACTGCCCTGGGTAGATGGATATAAAAATAGGGAAAAGGATATCTTCACTTGACCTGCTCGATTGCCATCCTTGTCCAGTGATTAATACTCTATTCTAATGTCTTAATGTGTATACATTTCTTCATGCATTCATTATGCGGGGCTAATGATTGCAACAAAAGATTACCAAACTTGTCTTGATTTGATCCGAATGTGTCTAGCTGGCTTTACGTATTTACCATCCGATGAAGCCGGCTTTCAACACACCCACTCGACAGTTTGCCAATCAGCTGATGGAGCTGACTTTCTTTCCATCGGACATCATTCGAGTCGGCATCATCTTCGAAACTAATAGATTGACACAAATTTCGCTTGTAATCATTTAAAATAAAGTCCAATGTGCAAGCACTGTTACCACATCACAGCATTGCATAACCCTGTGTGTGTATATATATATAGTATGTATATAGTACAATTTCTGAGTGTCACACTGATCAAAGGGGAAGCGTGGAGCAATAAACACAGCCACCCCCGCATATTTGATTTTCGAAACTAATCACCATTGGCTACTGCTAATGTTCCAACGCCTTCATTCAACAAACATTTTATCCATCAATCAGACAGCATTGTCACACCCAAAATAGTTTTTACTTCATTAATATTTAGATGCAGTTTATTGCATATAACCCCCATGATTCCAACCTTCGGTTTCTCCATTCCGCAACCCTGCAATTCTGGGTTTAAATGTGTTTTTCAAGCCGTACGGTCTGTAACACCAATGAGCGGAATTTGTTCGATATTTTTACCTTATCAAATGGAGTGTGCAACACTAGAAACCGAAGAAATGTTTTCATCAAAGCTGTGTGGCGATAGGTCCTTGCATTATTTAGATATCCTGAATGCATTGAAAGAAGTATGGGAATAAATAGACTTCCCGGAAACAAATACGGTATTTATTCAATCAAAGTTGTAGTTTTCACAATGGCTATCCGATGTGTTGTACAAATCATTGCAACATTATAAGTTTCAGGGTCTCCATAAATGAATTTATCCTACACAAACGGGGCAGAGGGACCTAACCGGAGAACAAGCCCTACGTGACAAGAATGTAGTAGATATCGGAACCTGAAAGTAGTTGAGAAGACAAAGCAGAGTCAAAGAAAGAACTCACGTTTTAATAGATATTGGTGAACATTCATCTAATGTGCAAGTCACTGAGAAAGTCTGACAACCTGAAAACACCATCTACAAAGAAAGAACGAAAAGAAACGAGCATAACACACGAGAAGGTATTCGCCTTTTCTTTTTTCTATTAGCCAAGTCTATATAAATAAAAGAAAAGGAATAGAAGTACCAAAAAATATACCTAATGTTCTTAGCTATGACAGTCTGCCTATCTTCCGCTCCAAGATGACGAAGAAAAACTTCCTCCAACCGATCATCTCGGTATGCATGCTACAAATACAAAACATCCATGAAAATTCACTAGAAAAAAGCTCTGCCTGTAATGAAACGACATGAATAGAATACAAAATGCAGGCCAGTACTTGAATAGAAAATCTTCAATCATATTCGAACGATACACACTACAAACAAGGATGCTAAGATAACAATTCGGTCCAATGAACATTTCTTTATCCATTTGTTTTTTTGACATACACACTGGAGGTGGCATTACAAAAAAAAAAAAAAAACCCACCAAAAGAACGATTATACCAATTCCAGGATTGCAAGGCAAAAACCTTTACACCTTAATACCCACCACATTGAGCCTCAAACTAATGTAAACTGTGAAGAAAAGTAATTCAAAGTCTAGTAAAACTTAATCCAGATTTCAATACTACGATGTTTTAAGGTAGCAATCTACAGAAACCACCAATGCTACCACATTTTCAATATTTCCAGCAAAATGGAGAACAACAACTAAATATAGTAACTTAATAGTGAGAGTCCTCCTCATCGCTTGAGTCACTTGATTCATAATCTAGCTGCATTAGAAACAAGGCCATCTCCATAGACATAGCATCGTTTTCCAAATCTTCATCATCAAAAATATTCAGGTCATCTTCTTCAATTAAGTGCTCGAAAGCATAAAAAATTGCTTCCATATTTATAACATTGGATCGGCGAGGAGGTTGACTGTGGTATTTCCATGCATAAGAGCCTGGCTTGACATTATGCTGGAGGACAACACAAGTGCATCCATTAAAAGAATCGTACAACTAACGCTCTCTATGACTAAAGTAAATTGCATAGAAATGAACAAAACATCTTAACCCCACCCTTATTCCCCGGCATAAAAAAGGAGAAGAAAGGAACTAATGGCAGAGCACATACAATCTAAAGAAGAAACTGTAGATTTGAACTTCTCAAATACAGATTATTTTTGTATTTCACGTTACAATCAGAGATTTACAGGAGAGTTTTTATACAAGTATTTATAAAGAGTTTAAGATGGACTAGGGATTGTATTATCTACAAATTAGGATTCTAGAGTTAGTGGTTAAAGTAAAAAACTAATATTTACATCTAATCATAACTCACACTCCCTCCTCAAGCAGGAGAATAAATGTTGTAAAGACCCAGCTTGGATGTAATCTCGTCGAAATTGATTCTTGGAAGTGCCTTAGTCAAAATATCGTCTAGTTGATCTTTTGAAGAGACATAGTTGAGTCTTACGATTCCACCATTCACCTTTTTCTACAATGAAGTGTCTGTCGATCTCCACATGCTTAGTTTTGTCATGTTGTACTGGATTTTTAGCAATGCTTATAACCGACTTGCTATCACTTTGAAGTTCAAAGTGGGTTTTGTCACTAACTCCTAACTCAGTTAAGAGTCGTTGTAACCAAATGCCTTAACAAATTCCAAGTGCCATTGCCCGATATTCCGATTTTGCACTACTATTGGAAACTACGATCTGTTTCTTTCTTCTTCAAGTCACCAAATTTCTCCAAACAAATGAACAATAATCGGTTGTTGATATAATATATGTTAACTCTCCAGCCCAACTTGAATCTGAAAAGATCTTGATTATTCTATCATGTTTTCTGAAAATTAATCTATGACCCGATGTCATCTTCAAATACCTTAAAATGCGATATACTACTTCCAAATGTTCCTCTAGGATCATTCATGTATTGACTCACAATACTCACAGAGAAAGCTATGTCTGGTCTAGTAAGTGACAAGAAGATGAGCTTGCATACTAACCTTTGATATTGTTATTTGTTTACTGGACTTCCATTTTCTTTTAACTTCATATTTGCTTCCATGAGAGTTTCTGAAGGCTTGCAATATATAAATCCAGCTTCAAAGAGTAAATCCATAATATACTTTCTTTGATTTATGACAATTCCTTCTTTTGATCTTGCCACTTCCATGCCCAAAAAATACCTCAAGGTCCATAGGTACTTGGTTTCAAATTCTCTTGCTAGCAATGTCTTCAAATTTTTTATTTCTCTGAAGTCATCACCAGTGATAATGATGTCATCAACATAGAAAATTAAGATTGTCATTTTATTGTTTGAACCGGTCTTCACAAACAGAATATGATCAGATTGACATTACTTATAGTTGTCTTTTAAGAGTACCTTCGTGAATATATCGAACCAGGCACGAGGGGAATGTTTTAGTCCATATAATGACTTCAACAACTTGCATACCTGCTGATTTTTCGATTTTATCTGCACACCCGGTGGAATTTTCATATAAACCTCATCTTCAAGATTGCCATAGAGGAATGCATTTTTGAAATCAAGTTGATGGAGTGTATAATCCTTATTAATTGCTAAGGATAGAAGTACTCTTACAGTGTTGAGTTTTCCAACTTGAGCAAAAGTTTCTTAACAGTCTACTCCATGAGCTTAAGTTAACCCCTATGTCACAAGTCTGGCCTTATACCATTCAAAGTTACCGTCTGCATTGTATTTGACTGTAAAGACCCATTTGGAACCAACTGCTTTTTTGTCTTTAGAAAGATCACAAATAGTTCAGGTTTTGTTGTTTTCAAGAGCTTAAAGTTCTTCTATTGCCTTCTTTCATTCGGGAATTTTTAGAGCTTCTCCTATGGTCTCTAGAGTGCAGATGTTGTCAAGTTTGGTTGTAAATGACTTAAACCCATACATTAGTTTACCATAAACAACAAATTTATTGATAGGATGAGTTGTACACATTCTTACTCCCTTTCTTTGAGCAATGGGTAGTTCACTAGTATCAACCAAAGCATCTAACTTACTCTGATCACCTTCTTCTCATTCCAAGGAATCTGAGCCTGGTTATGGCTCTTAACAATGCGTCGATGGTGTGGTAACAGGTGGGGTGAATTTTGCTCGTATTTTGTAGGTATGAATATCGGTTTGGGGAATAAATGGAGACACAGGTGGATTAGGTGTTTTAGGTGAATCAATTTGGTGTGCGGTTTCAATATTAGGTGTTGTTTGAATGATTGTTTCAGGTGATGGTTGAGGTTTTACAGGTTTATTGGGAGATAAGTTGATGGCTAACTCTGTATGGATTGGAAAAAGCTGAAATTCACACCCACTCTCCCCCTGGATTTAAATTTTAGAGAAGAAAGGTTTATGTTCAAGAAATGTAACATTCATCGAAGTGAACATCTTCTTGGTAGAAGGAGAGTAACACCGATAACCCTTTTGTATAGAGGAGTACCTAACAAAGACACAACGAACTGCTCGGGGATAAAGTTTGGACTTAGTTGGGGAATGATCATGAACAAAAACTATACAACCAAAGACACAAAGAGGAATAACAGTAGTGAGTGGTTTAAATTGAGGAAAAAATTGAGACTTTACTGGGCATGCAATTATTAAGATAGATTGCGGTTAAGAGAGCCTCACCCTAAAGTTACTTAGGAACATGGGTTGAAAAGAGAAGAGTTCGGGTTACCTCAAGAAGATGACGATTTTTACGTCCGATTACCCTATTTTGTTATGGTGTATCGACACAAGAAGTAAGATGGACAACTCATTTTTCCTGAAATAAAGACCCTAACAAGTTAGAGAAATATTCACTACCATTATCAGATTTGAAAATATCGATAGAGCTTTGAAATTGGGTCTCAATCATTTTATGAAACCGTTTGAAAATTCCCCCAACCTCGGATTTATCCTTCATGAGAAAAGTCCATGTGGTACAAGAGTGATCATCGATGAAAGAGATAAACCAACGAACTCCATGTAAGCCTTTGACACGAGATTGACCCTAAATGTCACATATACTACAAAAAATAGTTTGGAAGAATGATAAGTAGAAGGAGAAAATATACTGCGAATGTATTTAGTAAGATAACATATATCACAAGAAAAAGATAAAAGGTTTTTATTAACGAACACTTTGGGAAACAATTTTGCAAGATAACTAAAACTCGGATAAACTAACTTAAAATGTCATAAAACAATTTCTGTAACGCCCCAACTCTCGGGTCAGTAGTTTGGGTTATCTCGAAAACCCGAAAGTTGAGCCCATTATACTTCATAAGATAGTTGGGATCATTTAGAAATGGTATTGGGCTTAAGTAAGGCCCAAGAGTTCAGAGAAGTGATGGTTTTAAAAGTGAATTAGAAGGAGAGGGACCAAAAGTGTAGTTTATCCTTTCTGTTAAAGTTGATATCTTTTCCACTTATTTTTATATCATTCACTTAAACCAACCCTCCCCATAATATCTCACCCACTCTTCTTCTTTTTCCATTCAAAGGTCATGTTCAAGCATTAAAATCTTAGATTATTTTAGCCAAGGTAAGAATGTTTCTCTCCATCCTTCAAGCGTTGTTTTAAGCTCCATTTTGTGAGTTTTAGAATTAATTTTCAAAATGGGTTTTATGGAGGTTAAGGAGATCCATGAATCCAAGCTTTGTTTTAGTGTATTCAAGTTACCTAAAGCATCTTAAGCTGTAATCCAAGAGCTTAGTTGGTTTAGTAAATCCCTTTTTTTTATCTTTGTTTAGTAAGGGAGGTGGGAGAAAACTCTAAAGCAAGAGCGAAAGAGAAGTTGCCCCTTGGTTAACTTGAGAGAGTTTCTAGAAACAAAGAATCAAGGTAACACACTATCAATTCTTACGTACTCCTAGTGATCATTAGAAACGAGTTCTAGCTTGAGAGTAAGTTATGAAGCTTACTGTTATTTGTTAATGGTAGATTACATGATTTATGTTGTAAGCATGATATAAAGCCTTATTTATTCTTCTTTTGATCACATAAAACTTTAAAGAATGTTTGGGGACCTCAATAGGGCCATTGAGATTGAAATATGGCATTTTTGTATGTGTTTTATGACTTCCGCAGGTAGAGCATCGATACTATAGGGATAGTATCGATATTTATTCTTCATTTTGGGTAAATTTGTGAGTTTTTGGGCAAAAATATTGATACTCTTTCAAGAATATCGAAACTTTGGGTCATAATTTCGAAACTCCCAGAAAGTATCTAAACTGGGCATTACAAAAATATCGGTACTTGTATAAAGTATCGAAACTTTTGCAGTAGTATCGATACTCTTGGGATAGTATCAATACTTTCAGTCTGTTTTG